GCACTTAGCACAGAGCCTGACACATAGTAAGTGCACATAAATACTGGCCACTACTTGTTTTTATAATTAAATTGAAAAGTTCCATTGTTTTGGCTTTGCTTTTCTTTCTTTTAACAATAATATGCTTGATATTCTTCCTTATGATAAAGAATAGTGGGCTGGAGTTAAGGAGAGCTTAAACTTTTTCAAGACTGAGAAAAACCTAATAAAAACTCAAACAACCAATTTCTCTAAAGGAGAAGCAATGTTGAAAGACACTGCAGAAACTCCTAGTTATAAGGAAGATTCTGGAATGGTAGTGCATGACCTATCTGTGAACTGTCTGTACCACTAGAAGCATGAACAGAAGCAGTGGAATTTTAATGATTTTGTATGGCATTTCTCAAAGGTTTTGGTCTGAAGATCCTTTTACACTTAATTTCTGAGGACCACAAAAGAGTTTTTGTTTATATGAGTTATATCTGTTGATATTAGAAATAAAAATGGAGACAATTTAAAAATATTCATTTAGGGAATTCCCTGGCGGTCCAGTGGTTAGGACTCCGCACTTTCACTGCCGAGGGCCTGGGTTCGATCCCTGGTCTGGGAGCTAGGATCCTGCAAGCTGTGCAGCATGGCACCAAAAAGAAAAAAAAAGTCATTCAAAATAACAATAACTTCATCATATAGTAACACAGCTAACACATTTAAATGAAAGAAACTATCTTTACAAAACAAAAATATTAGAGGATTAATGTTTTACCTTTCTACAGATCTCCTTTTGATTGGTTTAGTAGGACTGAAACTGATTCTCATATCAGCCTTTTTATGCAATTTGTTGCAATATGTTATTTTGGTGGAAATGTATGAAAAAGATACGTTGTTGGAAAAGCGAGGGAGTATTTTAATAGCTTTTCCAGATAACTGTGGTTATTCTTTGATACTACACCAAAACTCCACAGTAGCTTCTTAATTAATTAATTTAATTAATTTATTTTTGGCTGCATTGGGTCTTCGTTGCTGCGTGCGGGCTTTGTCTAGCTGCGGCGTGGGGCTACTCTTTGCTGTGGTGTGCCAGCTTCTCATTGCAGTGGCTTCTCTTGTTGCGGAGCACGGGCTTCAGTAGTTGTGGCTCGCGGGCTCTAGAGCGCAGGCTCAGTAGTTGTGGCACACGGGCTTAGTTGCTCCGCGGCATGTGGGATCTTCCTGGCCCAGGGCTCGAACCCGTGTCCCCTGCATTGGCAGGCTTAACCACTGCACCACCAGGGAAGTCCCCACAGTAGCTTCTTAAAGGTTAGTTATAAAGTGGAATCTGAGAACAGATCTATGAACTTTTTGTATGGTTACATTAAAACACATCAGTCTGTCCTGCACTTTGAATGAATCTTTTACTCATGATTTTGTAACATCATCCATTAGTCAGTTGGAAAATATTGGGTCACTGAGTTAGGCAGATATTCCAAATGTTTACACATTTCAGAAACTTAATACCTTAGAACATTCTAGAAAACATATGAACACACAAGCACACATTCCATTAGCCACCAGAACAATGATGTCATCACATGTCATGTTGCCTCTGGAAAACTCCATGGTGCATTTGAGAAAAAATAAGAATGATAAAGACAAATCATGTCTTACTATGAAAATATCTTTGATTGCATGATTCATTCAAAAAGCGTTAGTCTCAGGCCACACTTTAAGAACAGCTGATTAGGTATGTTATGACCCATTAGATAAACAAAGAAAGCAAAAAACTTACCACCTCCTTCTCTCTCTCTCTCTTAAACCAGTAGACAGTATGTCATAACACACAAACAGTAAAATACTAAAACACAGTCCCAAGTGGCAACTTCAAGTCTCTTTACATGAAGATAAGTAGACAAGCTTATAGAAACAGATGGCTTCTAATTTAAAGGTCTTTCTCATTTTTTGGAATTTGAACCCTGTTAATCATTAGCATTTCAATGCATGGGGGGCAGGTATCTTTGGGGAATTCAAAACGCTTTGCTTCTGCCTCTTTTCCCCATCTCACGCCCCCAAGACTCTTTGCAGAAACATATTGGGTGGCAGAACCCCACTAAAAATATTTTAGTAGGGCTTCCCTGGTGGCGCAGTGCTTGAGAGTCCGCCTGCCGATGCAGGAGACGCGGGTTCGTGCCCCGTTTCGGGAGGATCCTGCGTGCCGCGGAGCGGCTGGGCCCGTGAGCCATGGCCACTGGGCCTGCGCGTCCGGAGCCTGTGCTCCGCAAATGGGAGAGGCCACGACAGTGAGAGGCCCGCATAACGCAAGAAAAAAAAAAAAAAAAAAATTTTAGTACATGTTTTCTGTTTGCAACCTGGACTGGAAGCTACCCATTTACTTTGGAACATGTTTTCTTTGCAAGTATAGGACAGAAGATGATATTCTTACCTGGAGTTGGTCGTATGTGATGAACTGCTAGATAAATCCATTTTGCTCTCCTTGTTCTGTACTCCAGGCTTTTCAAAGTAGGATGATGGGGCAGGTTGATCGTAATTTTTTGGAAAAAGCCTCTCGCTAACAGGTTTAGGTTGTAGGAACTTCAGGCAGCAATACTGCCAAGGAAAAACGTTTTTAGGCACCTTGTCCCTTACTTTTCTATTCAGTTTCCCAGTGCATTTACCACATCCTTCTGGCTGCGTGGTAGGTCCCACTGAGTGGCCCACCCGGGGCCTATCCTCCTGGTAAATGAACTGCCTTCAAGATTACCTACTCCTTTGCCTCCTCCTTTATTCTTCAGCAAACACCCTTTGTACTCTTTCAGTGAAGTCTGATTTCAGCTTAAGTGAGTCCAGACTGAGATACAGTGTTAGTGTATTAAAATTATTAAGGCATGAATGATGGATGGGTACCAAGTGTTTAAGAACTAAGAACCAACTGATGCACTGAACAAATAAACTTGAAAACGGGTGACTACATGTAGCCATTGAATGCACTGCTCAGCTTCTCTTTGCAACCATATTAAAACCCCATAAGCCACTAATAAGGACCTGCTGTGTAGCACATGGAACTCTACTCAATACTCTGTAATGGCCTATATGGGAAAGGAATCTAAAAGAGTGGGTATATGCGTATGTATAACTGATTCACTTCGCGTACACCTGAAACACAACATTGTAAGTCAACTATAATACAATTAAAATTAAAAAAAAAAAAAACCCAAACCAATAAGCCATTTAAGTTAAGGCTAACCTGGTAATGCAAGAAATGAGACGTGAGGTAACCGAATAATTATGCTTTGCAGCCCCACAGGTTTGGATAGTTAAGGTGAAAGAGGGTGAAGTGCCAAGAGGGCAGCTCTCATTTGAGCGAGATGTTTTGACTTCAAGGCCGCCGGTAAAAATTTTGGGGTTTCCCGGAGTTCCTTTCGACGTTTCATTATTCCTCGTATTAACTTTTTTTTTTTTTAAACTTCAGTGTTACGGAAGCGCCAGACTGGGATTTCCAACTGTGTTTTCAGGTGAAGATGGGGCCTGGAACTTGGGTGTACAAGAGATAGTTTAAGCTAACGCCATCTCCGCCCTCTTTTGCAGGGTGCCCTCTCTTCCTTTTTCGCAGCTGTTCCAACCTCCGTCCGGGCGTGGCTGAGAGGAGACGACGGGGTGATTATCCAGCCCAGAAGGCCATTAATGGCATTATTCCTGAGTCTCCAGATTCTTGCTCTCGCCGTGCGGCGCCTGCGAAGATCCAGAGCCGGTGCTGCGGGCTGGACGTATGCAACCAGCACGACCAGCGCGCCATCGCTCCGAGACTCTCCAGCGACAGTAGTGGGCGGCGCACGAACCCTCTCCTTTCTTTAACTCTTCTTCACAGAGTCCCACCCCCATCGGAAGTGGAGCCGTCTCTACGTTCCCTCACTTCCGGGCCAGACTCCCGTCGCTTGGCGGGAGCGAGCACGCCCGTGCGCGGCAACTTTGTTCCCGCCTCCTTTGCCCCTGACACCACTCACCTTGGGCTTTCTCGGAGCGCGACGTGCGTGCGCGCCCCCGGCCTTGCGTCAGGGCCGAAGAGGGGAAAGGCCGAAAGAGCGAGGCTAGAAGGAGGGGTTGTGGAGGTTAGGGCCCAACCAGCAAGTTCCATCTCCCTCCCTCCTCCTGACGAGGAGCGGAGAGGGAAGGGGAGGAGCGAGCCGGGCCAGCCGCGCACACCAGGAGCCTCCTCGTGGAAGGGGGGGGGGAAGCGGAGGAAAGGGGCAGCACCACCGCCTCTGCTCGCCGCGCCGAAGGAAGAAGAAAGTCAGGGCCCATACCCACCCCCACAGACTCAGAAACGCCCCCCCCGCCCCCATCTCCCCGGAAACAGCCCCCCGCCCAGCCCCGCACACTCGCTGCCCCAACCGTGAGCCGCAGCCCGGTCGCCCCCGCCTCGCCCCGCCCCGCCGCCTGTCCCTGCGGGCCGCAGAGTGCGCGAGGCCTTAGGCCGGGAGTTGTTGTCAGGCCCAGGCCACTTCTGAGGCGCCCGCCGTGTGTCGCCGCCACCACAGGAGGACAACGTCGACGAGAAGGAGGCGGCGGAGGCGTGTTGTTGTCTCGCCCACTCCCCTCCCCTGAACTCGCACCCAACGTCAGGGCCCGATGGAGTGAAGCGGAGACGAAGGTGGTACTTCCGCGTTGCGCTGCCCGAGCCGAGAGCGCGGCCGAGGTCGCTCTCCCCCACCCCCGGGGGCACTTGGAGGACTCCGGACTACCCCGCAGGTCAGCGCCCGGCGCATCTGGTGTTTTTGCTGCCGAGGCTAGGAAGACGAGCACGATCGGGAGCTCCTCCGCCCGGATTCCCTGCTTCCCTCGGGCCCGGAGGCCGCTGCGTACCCCACTGTGATCTGGAACCCAGGGACCCGAGTCCCGACCCGGATTATCGTGGCGCGTCTCCCGGCCGGCCCTGGTGCTCGGTGTCCCTCCGCCACCGCCGCCGCCGTTCCCGTTTCCGGCGGGGGAGATGGCCAGGATCTGACCCGGGAGGAGGCCGCACCCGCGCCGCGCTCTGCGGCGGGCTCTAGGCGATGCCGAGCAGCTCGGACACGGCGCTGGGGGGAGGCGGGGGCTTGAGCTGGGCGGAGAAGAAGTTGGAGGAACGCCGCAAGCGGAGGCGATTCCTGTCCCCTCAGCAGCCGCCGCTGCTGTTGCCGCTCCTGCAGCCGCAGCTCCTGCAACCGC